AAAAAAAAAAAAAAAAAAAAAAAGTGTGACTTAAGTTCTACATTTTCTGCAGAATCTTGGGCAACAGGCCATGTGTAAATTCTAAAATCCAGGTTATGAAGTAAAGATTAAGTTATAAAAGAGTATACCCTTGAGATAGTCTAACTATCAAGTTCCTCATATATCTGTGAAAATTACAACTGAACCCTTGGGATTTGTGATAATTGTGAGTTTGCAACTTTATCCCTTTCAAAAGGGGGATTTGCTGAGAGGACTGCCAAGAAAAAAAAAAAAATGTGATACCTTCAAAGGGTGTTTGATATTTTGGTAGATAATTGGGACTTTTTTCTAATTACATCAAACTCAAATGGTAGTTTATGTAATTATTCATTCATCAACATCATCATCAACATACCCAGTATACTCCCAACTCCCAACAGGTTGGGGTCTGGGGAGTTATTTGTATGCAGACCTTACCCTTGTAATTATACAAGGCTGTTTCCATAGCGACCCAAGGTGCGTTTCGTCGTTTGATATATTTTTTTCTAGAAACTTCACTAATAGAAGAAGCACTAGAATTTAATTGAGGCATTTTGATCTAGTCCATTATTAGCACTATGCCAGGAGAATTGTCAACAATGACACTTCCAGCTCCATATGCAACGGACATATATGTAATTATTCATTATTCAATAATTTTCATATGCATTCACAATCAGATGATTTATCCATCCCACCAGACCATGACACTGTCATCTGTCAAATGGTGAAAAACTGAATAAACTTTTTATTAGATTATCGATACTGATGGTAACAAAAATTTTCCTTGAATTTACAGGAAAAAAATTACCCGCCTCTACAAATAAAAAGCTAAAAGATTACTCAGGCAACAAAACATTAACCTACTAATGAAAACCTAAACTCGAGTAGTAAAAACCGGAGTCAATTCATTTACATAAAGATATGTTCATATGGCGGAGAATACCTTCATCGTGTCTCATTCAACATCATAAATCTCTCCGGCTATTTTTGCTGCTGGTTTGGTTGACTTCACTTCCTTCACTAGTTTCGGTGTGGCTCAAATAATCCGTACTGTAATCCTGACTGCCAAACGCCATTCTCTGAAAGAGTCGAATTTCGGCAGATTGTTGAGCGGAGTTAAAGATTTCGCTTTCCCCAACTCTCATTCCATTTGTTAAATCCGGGGCAGCCATGCTGTCAAAAGCCCTCACAACCTGAAAAGGAAAAATCGAGAAATTGGCAAACCTTATTGGAAGACAAAGAATGCACACATAAATTTTCTAACAGTTATAATGATTATAATTATGACGGTAGAATAAAATGAAATATAGCAATTGATTATGTGAAAAACAGATAGAGATTCTTACTTGTCCCATTTTGGGTCTCTTTGCTGACGAATGACGAACACAAGCTGCTGCTGCTTCGACTAGCCGAAACATCTCATTGTCAACATATTTCCCCTCAAGTTTCGAGTCTGCTATTTCGTTGAATTCCTGTGTGTCGAGTGCTTGACTTAATAAAGGCCGGGCCTGAAATAGAAAAAAAATTTAGATACCAATAAAGAAATGCAAAAATAAGGAAGGGAAGAAACAAAGAAAGAAAAAAATGTCAGCAACAGTATATCACATTCTTTGTTTGGAAGCTTATAATCTGTTTAAGATTGTATACATTCCAAACAAATGTTGATCTTTGATAATCCTGAATACATTCCTTCTTTCACATGCTCAGATATTTCTTCACAGTACTTACGTTATCAGGAAAACTAGCATTGCATGGTCTAAATTATCAAGTTATATCACAATTTGTGGTCTAACAATGTATAACGAAAGGACGCAATCCTAACACTTGGGCGAAAAAAAAAAAATAAAAAAAAAAAAAATTGATCTTAACTAATGAATCACATGCTCATTGCTAGACGACATTAATGTCCCAATATTATGTTAGCTACATTTTAAGTTCTAAAGAGCAATAAAGTGGTTGATAATGATTAATGAACTTACCCACTCAACCAGGCTCTCTTCCCCGAGTGGTTGAGATGTATCTACTGGCTTTCGACCTGTAATTAACTCCAAGAGCACAACTCCATAGGAATACACATCAGACTTATCAGTTAACTTGCCACTGGATGCATACTCAGGTGCCATGTATCTGTATTAGGAAAGAAGTAATAATAAATAAATATAATGAAAACAAATATTATGAATAATAATGAAAGAAGTTCTTTAAGGATTTTGGATATTTAGCTTTTATTCAACCAGAACATCCATTTATTTGATAAACACTTACCCAAAGGTTCCCATAACGCGGGTGGTGACATGTGTATTCGCATCCATGGCTAGCTTAGCAAGTCCAAAATCAGAAACCTGTGGAAATTAACTTTTACAGATTTAAATCTTGAAGACATGAGAAACAGAAATGAAAAGGTGAAAGAAAAAAGAAAAAAGAAAAAAATATTGTATGAAGTTGAGCATACCCGTGCTTCAAAGTTGCTGTCTAGAAGTATATTTGATGATTTGATATCTCTATGTATTATACGAGGGTGGCCTGAAAGATTACCCAGCTTAGCAGATTAATGTGCTTTTGTTTAATAACATGTACGATATAAAATAAAATGGTACGACGTTAAGAAAACCAAAAATCTGCAACTAAATAACTAACTGAAGATAACAGTGTAAAAATCAAAACAGTATTTTACAGTATACTAGTTTTTATATAATTTTTCAAACATCCAGTAATACCTTATATTTCATACTATAGTGTCCAAAGATCTTTTAAGCAACTAGTTTATATAAAATTATAGGCAACTAGAAGTAACTTAAGTATCCTATCGCAACATTAGCACTTTGCCATCATTCTCGTAGCCGAGGAAACTGGACATTAATTACTATACTTTGTGTAAGAAACAATTTGTACAGTATGACCCACCATACAGAAAAACATATATCACTTTCTAAAAGGAGTTTCCTTTCAACTGCTCATGATTCAAAAGTAAGGGGAAATAAAAGCCAACAGAACAGAGATGAATTTCAATAATTTCAACAACTTAATCAAAGAAGTAAAATCAAAATAACTTACAGTCCTCATGGAGATAAGCTATTCCACGAGCTGCACCAACCGCTATCTTCACACGCGTAGGCCAATCCATAACCGGCTTATCGTGATGACCTAGAAAAACATAATACATAACCTAAAACAAAAATCTCTTCAAAAGCCAAAAACACATCTTGTCCAAATCAAGAACTGAAGATGTACCATGAAGATGGAAGTAGAGGGTATTATTAGGAACGTATTCATATACGAGCAGCCTCTTCTCCTCGGAAATGCAATAACCCACGAGTGATACCAAATGGCGGTGGTGTACACGACTTATAATCTCCACCTCGGATCTAAATTCTCTCTCCCCTTGTCCTCCTCCAATCTTTAACTGCTTAACAGCAACTTCTCGGCCATCAACAAGATTTCCTTTGTACACGGAACCAAAACCACCCTCACCCAATAAATTATGGGGCGAAAACACACCAGTCGCTTCAGCTAGTTCTTGATAGGTGAACCATGATCTCGAGTTGCCCAAGCCACCGGAGCTATTTGCATTACTAGGTACGGATACTTGCACTTTAAGTAGTCCAGAATCTGGGAACAAAATCAGATTACTTGTCAATTTTGAATGTCAAAAGTGCAGCTAGCAGAGAAGTGCAACAATTTGTAATGCCTGCCTGCCTGAATAAATCATTATCATGGGAATGGTTATGAAGAATGGAAGAGAATACATTGAGCACAAGATTTTAGTATTTTAATCAACGAAAAAAAAAAAGGGTTAATCCAATTGCAAGACAAGAAGTTGACCTGATTGAGGAGAGGAGGAAGCTATAGACGTGGGCAAAACATGTCCGCCACGCCCGGCTACCCTTTTCTTCCGTTTCCACAAGCAAAACGCCACGATTCCAAATACAGAAAGCAACAGGAGACTAAGTGCGCCGACAATGGCGGCAGTGGCGCCGGTACCTATCCCTCCATTGCCACTCGGTGGCGGAGAACTTTCTGGAGTGTGAGCGGTGGTTCCGTTGGGCGTTGTGTTGTTCGGTGTAGGCAGTGATGGCAGAGGCGGGGGCGGAGGCAGTGTTGGAGGAGTATCTGGCGATGGGAGAGGAAGAGGTGGCGGGGAAGGTGTACGGGGGTCTGGTGAAGGTGGTTGTGGTTGAGGCGGTGAGGTGTGTGGAGGTGGAGGTGGAGGTGGGT